CCGAGTTTCCAAGGCCAAATACCAGTTTCATGACTCCCATTGTCGAGCTATTCGTCAATCTACAGTGAATATCTGTAATTTGTATTCAAGTTTTTTATCTGCAAGTTTTCAAAATGCAAATATTGACTTGAGTTCTTTGGAATCTAACTATTTGGGAGTCTCAAAGATAGTGATACACTGAAAGAGATAGTCAAATACAGTCGTTGGAATCTCAGGTGATCTTTAGGCCGACAAATTCAACTCCCCGGTTTGAAGTTTTATACCTTCGGTTTCACAGAAAAAGCAAAGTGCTGCCGTACTCCTCAAATAGTTGTTCACTGCTTAGGAAGTGTGAATCATCTTTTTTGTACATGAATGGGCAAAACTCGTGTTCTTTATTTTCGCCGCAGATAGATCCACGATTGCTTATTCGGTAAAGCAATCATCACTTAATCACGCTTAACCACCTAAATAGCTATTTTCTTACCCGCAGCCTGAAATAGCACCTGATTAAGTACAATTTTACGAGCCGTAGAGATGAAACAACCTATTTCATAAGGGGGGTTACAAAATAGCACCTCAACTAAAAAGCGCCCGGTTTCTCTTCAAGTGTACCGGCTAAAATCTAGCACATTCTCATGTCCAAAATGTATATTTTTTAGATAACACTCAAAATTTTCCTTTCAATTTTGCTTCCTTTTTCATTTTGGACAACCCTTCAAGTTTCTTTGAGGACGTTTCTCTTTGCAGAACCCAGTGGTTCAGGCTATTACCATAATCAAATAGTTTTAATCAGGTGATATTGCTATGAAAACGCCGCCGGATTAAAAAGAAGTAAAACGGTCACTTTTCAAATTCTTAACCCTCTCCTCTCCCATTCACATTAAATCAAAAATAATTTTACTGCCGACTAGATTGACCCGAACCAGAAGACTCTGTTTTCGCGTGCTCAACTGCTGGCGAAACGCGCGATCGGCAAATCGACCTTCTCCAACTCACGTGAAGTTACCGCTAATTTCCGTCTCAAACCTGGTTCCTATGTGGTCATACCAAGCACATTCGAACCGAATCAGGAGGCTAAATTTATAGTGCGTGTGATCTGCCAAGTCGCTATGACCGATTGGTAAGTGAATCGATTATTTTTCTCTCGTGCCCCTCCCCTCCACAGAGCTGCTTATCAATTGGCTCCTGCAGATTCACTCCACCGTTCGAGATACGTTTTAAGATATTTTGCCTAAATTTTACATGATCTCCTAGTATATAAACGAGTTATTTTGACGATCAGTCATATTGTAACGAGAAGGCGAGTCGGCCGGCAAAACGTTTATTGATTCAATTCCAAAAACAATCGATGGGTGCGGTCAGCTATGTACAATCAATTCTCAACTGCGTGGCAGGATGATTCACGCCTCATTCTAATGGTCCATTCCTGCTGGGTTCGGTCCGCATTTGGCACGTACGTTTCCTCCTCTTCCGCGTGCCGTTCCGACTGGTTTGACCCGATCGTAGTGCGAGTTACGTTGATCGACAGCTCCGATGTTGTGGTATTCGGTGGATATCTTTTTGGCTGGATGCGGATTGTCCGTCAGGCTGTAATTTTTGATTCATTCGTTTCCAGTGGTAGTCGACATTGTCTCGCGAAGTACTTCCAGCCGCAACATGTGCGCACCTGGTTGGATGGGCCCTATTCTTGATTCGTTCGCTAGCCGGGGCTCTCTTTGTACCACTTTCCTTCACAATATTAGCAGAAATGCGCATTCTCTATTGGAATTTTTCATAACCAAAGAATTTGGTTGCTCATGAGTAGTCACGTCAATAAATGAATAATAATCTCGCCGAATCTGCGCAAGCAAATTCGAAACTCCCCACACATACTGAAGGACGTAATACATCAGCTAATATTTTCCTCATCTTAGTACAGCTGGTATCTAAAAATTTAATATGGTCTTATCCTACAGCACATTGAATTAGTCACTCGTGCAAAGTGCAAGAAACAGTGCACTCTGATTTTCACAGTCTACTTTTTTCATAAAGTCACTCAATTAGCAGTCAGGAGAACATAAAAAGGTGATCGATGGAAAAACAATTCCATCAAAATAGAACAACATTACCCAGAGGAAAAATACCAATCATGCAAAGAAAAGAAGAAAAACGCCTTGAATTCCCAACAAAATGATTGTTAAACCAAAAGACTAACTTACATTACTGGTTTCATTCAAAGGACGCAGAGAGTCGTTACAAACAATGCTAATCGGTCAGAGTCGAGAAAAATATTTGGCTTAGTTACGTAAACATAGACTAATCGTTAAAATGAAATGATCGACTAGCAGTGGGAGCGTAAATCCACGAGGCAATGCTACTTTGTGTTCATTCATGTAATTTTACGTAATCCGATCAGGTTTTGCTAACCTTTCAGGAACGCATTATATGTGATAATTTTATCCGACGCAAATGGAATGCAATGAACAAACAATAAAAGTGTTTTGATCATTCCCTTTTCAATAATTTCTTTGTGCAGCGAACTGGATGAAGACAACACCCACCAAAACATTCCGACTGTAAGTTATGTTTTCGAGCGAAATTTGATGCAACACTGTCTTCTTCGGTTGCTCTTGTTTTGACTGATCTTTTTTCCCTCCATGACATTTTATTCTGTAAGATGAGCTAAGATGAGAGCATCTCTAGCTTCTGACTTCCAGATGAAACAGTTTCATCTGTCGGTTCCGTTTCTCGATGTGTTCAGGCAGGTAATAGTACCACAAATATAGTCGCTATTGCCCAACTTGCACCCTCGTCCCGTGAAATCCGGTAAAATTCATCTCACAAAACTTGCGATCGGTAAGCCTGCAGCAAGCGAAGGACAATTAATCTCGCTTTGAACTTCACACCTGAATCAAATACATTTCTAAACTTATTGTTGCATAGAATCAAAGAAAATTTCAACGGCACATAATCATCGACAGATTGACATTAGTCTGACTATAGTTTTGGTCACTGAAAACACAATGATCACTTTTCATTTTTTTTACTAATCACACTGCACATGGGATGGGTTCATCAAACGGAATTATAGCAATACATTTTGGGAAAATGTTTCCTTGCTTCAGGAGATATCAATCATTAATTCACGTCTTAAAATAATATGCCGTGACAACTAAATTCATTCGATGTTCGGTGAAGAGAACTTGTTGTGCACGTTTGCACCAATTATTGCATGGTCAACTCTAGGATCTAGGACCTGAGATCTCCCCATGTGCTAATAAAGATAAGCCATGGAGGGCCAATGCTTGTACGCGTAAATGCTCTTTTTATCATGCAATTCATAAAACCGATTGTCCTGATCATTTATTTCCAAGGGTGATTTCTATCCTCCACACCTATCGTCAATTTACCTTTCCTTCCGCTCTACTCAACATCTGTTTTTCAGGATGTCATTGAAGCCATGAAGCTGGAAGATATGGTACTGGTAAGTTTTTCACCAGCCATGTACACCTGAAACATTGCGTCATGGATGAGATCACAGGTCACAATTTTTCGCCTCGTACACCCGAATCAGTCGGTTTTACTCCACAATAAAAAAATTGCTCATTTCAGAACGAGGACCAAATGATCGAGCAAAAATTCAACGAGATCTGCGATCCGCAATTCAAGGCGATCAATGCAGTTCAGTTGGGTATCCTGTTGAACGGCAGCACGCTACAAGGTGAGTGAGCACGGGAAAAAATGTGATATCACATGAAGCGTTTCGTCAAACACACATGTATAGAGAAAAGCAGTCTTGAATGGGAAAGTCATGAAACAGCTCTAAGTTATTTCAATCTTGATGGGTTCCATCAACAAACTGTAGTTCAAGTATCCAAGGTGTGCTCTGCATTTGACAAAATTCACCATAATAGCTAATTGAATCGTACACCATATTGTTTGTGTTTATTGATTAATTTTTTCGCCAATGGTAATACCGTTAGCTCTCTGATCCATTCCTGTTTCATGTGTTTCCTCAGACATGCCTGGCTTTACGGGATTCACGAAAGAAATGCTCCGCAGTATGGTCGCTGCTGTGGATGTATCCTTTTCCAACGAATATTTTTATATGGTTAATTTCTTTTATCAAGAATACTTCCTCCCCCACCCCTAACCCTTGTTTTCCAGTCACATGATATGGAAGATTTTATAGCTGACCATATTTCAGAAGATGAAGGGCATTGTAGTGGTTATAGTAGTAATACACACTGAACTCGGAATAGGAACCACGCAATATGGATCACGGAATACGAATCAAGGATAAGCAATCACGGACTGAATCACGTAAGCACTGGACCGCACTCACACTAGCACGCAATATCCCACGTAACTGAGACGCGAGGAAAAGGTCGCAGGTGTAGTAGTTCGTTTATTGAAAGAAGTAAGGGGGATTAAATAATATGTATAGAACAGACTCATTGGTCACCTGGGCCTCTGCCAATCGCGTTCCAGTATT